AATGGGATTGTTGGGGCTTTCCGAAGCACAGCAATTCTGGAAGCTTTCTGGGATAATTTGACATTTAAATTGATGATAGGTGTTCCAGTCTTGCCAAGAGAGTGCTGACTTGAATGGTGCTGAAGGAAGCAAGATCCCATTGGGCACTGTAGGGTTAGATGGTGGAATGTGACCCAAGACAGTATGGCCTGAACCTAATGACCCCTGGCCCCTGGGCTTTATTTGAAGTGTGTTGTACTCATGGGAAGTTGAATTGGACTATGATCTGTCTGGAATCAGAGATCTTGTGAGTTTAGGATACAGGTGAGGAAGAGGAATGGCGAGCCAACCGCCACCCTGGGATAGTGAGTTTAATAACTCCTGGAATTGGAAAAAGAGGCACCCTAAAATTCGGTGATTCTCTTAAGACTACACCCTAATAACTGCTTCGTCATGCGTGGGAGCAGCAAAAAGTGGGTCCCTGGAAGCTAGCTAGGCTTCACTGCTGGTCCACTCCATCACACTGAAAAGCCATGTCAGAAATCAGCCAAATGATGGCTGTCAATCACATTCATTGGATGGTTAGGTGATGTGGTTGCAACATTCAGTACTTCCTCCCTATGCTTTATTTTTCATTGCTGTATAATATTTCTTTAAATTTTTTTTACATCATTCTTCATTTTGTGCATTTTTCATCTCAGTTGTAATCCCCATGGGTCCCTCTGTCTTATTCTGCACTCCTTGAAATGTACAAATTTACCACCCAGACCAGAGCAGTTGGCCACACTGAGGACCCTGGGTCCCTCTCCATAAATAGTTTGTTCAGTGAGCTGGGCCTTCACCCCATTGGCTGATGTCTTGTGGAGCCTCTCAAAATCAAGGTGACAGTTATGGGGCCACTTGTCCTTAGTTGCTCCAAACCTGAGCTATGCAGGAGTCTCGGGAGATTCGAGACATGATTCGCAAGGATCTGTTATCGCCCAGGCCATGTTCCCGAAGGTTCTCGGGGCCCTCCTTTATCTTCAGTCTCTTCCCCAATCCTTTTCCGGGGCTTATGCGCTCAGCTCCCCTATGCACTCACAAGAAGTGGAGGTCGCCCTACAGTTTTTGGGGTGTGCTTGTGCTCTTCCCGGACTGTGTGATTAGTCACCTGAGACGGCCTTAGTGGCTTTTCAGGCTCCGGCCTTAGTGGCTTTTCAGGCTCCGGTGCTATTGCACAAGCGTCTTACGGACAATGAGGCCAGTGAGACCTTCCAGGAACAGGCCCCTTTTGTACAATGCAGCTCAGGGCAGTCTCCCTGACAGCAGAAGGGGCTGGCGAGCCCACACCACTAAATTTGGCGGAGCTCATGGTGATTTGCAAGTAAATTGTGAGGACAACGGGCAATTTGTCAACCCTGGGAGAGAGAAGGGCTATTTCTGAAGCTGTGACTGTTTCCTGGTGTAGACTTTCTCCGGTCAGCATGGCCCATGTTAAGTCGCTGAAATCATCTCAGACCCACGCTGGGGTCAAGTTACACCCCATCCGTTGTGGTGCCCCGAGACCCAGCAGCCGTCCCTACGGCGCCTTTCTCTCTTGTGCTCCCAGCCAGCCCTCTGCTCGTCACACTCACATGCACACTCACACTCACTCACACACACTCACACCCAAAACAAACGCACCCATCCAGCCGCTCCTTGTTCACACCCCAAAGGAGCCCTGTCCCCCCTCATCCAGCCCAGTGCCATCCCCGCCTCCCCAGGCCATCAGTTATCTCTTGGCTCTAGTCTCAAGTCCTCCTCCCCCCACCGCCCCTCCTTCCCTCCCTCGTTCTCCCCAAACCCACCCCCCTCCGCGTGAAGCATGAAACAGATCAAACGTTCTGTGAGCGCCTGCCGGCCTGAGACAGGGACCATCCCGTGCGATGGCATAAGATGCCTCATGTCGCTCGGGGAAGATGCTACAGGCCCATAAAGCCCCCCGAGGCCCTCCCCTGGTTGCTGTCCCCACTTCTTGCCGTTCTTTCAGCAGCTCTCTGCTCACGCTGTGTGGCCCCTGCCCTGCTGCTCCTGGGACGGGGGGCTGAGGGGTGGTCTTGGCTCTGAGTGTCCCCACTGCCAGGGCTCCTCCCCGCCCTTCAGGCCTCCTCAGCCTGGGTGCTGGCTTTCGCTTTCTTAGCACTGAGCACTTGCCAAGCGGGAGCTAGCTCACTGGTCAGGCTTCTGTTCTGTTGGGGGACGGGGGTTGCTCAAGAGGAGCAGGGATTTTCTGGCTTTGTTCAAGAGCCAGGAATAGTTCTTGGCACAAGCACGTACCTGAGAATTCAGCCAGTGTTAGCTCTGGGGGGAGGAGGGTCCAAGGTGAAGTCCTGGACCCGGGACTAACAAACAGCCCTGCTTGGAACTGCCCCTGCCTCTCAGTCCTCGAGAGGGGGTCCGCTTGCCTGTTCTCAAATGCATGATTTCCCCCAAATCTTCAACTTGTCTTTTCACGCTTTTCTATCTCCCATGTTCCACGGATGCTAAAGTCACAGATTTTTGTGTGCATAACAATCACACGGGGAGCCAGTTACCAACACGCGTGTGTCTTCACACCACAGTCAGGGTGATGGGGTGGGGGGGGGCGTAGCCCAGCGGTTTCTAGTCGAGGCCCTCGGGAGGCCGCCGAGGGCCGCACTCACGCTCACGCGCCTTCCTCTGATGGCGGCAGCTGCCCGCTCAGCGCCAGGCCTCCACGCCACTGCTCCTTCCTGGCGTCCCTGGGCCAGGGTCCTCCCTGCCCTCCCCGCGCTCCCCTGCGGAGCGCGGGGTCACACCTGGCCGGCTGCCAGCCCCGGCCAGGCAGGGTCTAGGGGCCCTGGAGGGTGGGACTCGTGTTTGGAGACAGCACTTAGATGGAGTTATGCACCTGCCCAGAGTCTGCACGGGAGCCGGGCTGCGGAGGCACGCGGCCGGAGGCAACCCCCCAGGGGAAAGGATCTGCGATGGGAAGAAAAATGGAAGAATAAAGACGGGAGCCACAGTAAACCGATGAACTCAGGAAACGTTCAAAAACACCGAATGCACTGAAAAACGTGGCTGAGCGTGTGTGCAAACCACTGCTCGCCTACGGGAAGCTTCAGTCTGGGCTGCAGACGCCGCGGGTGCTGCCTAAACACTCCGGCTGGAGTGACGGCGTGGACACCAGTCGCCACGTCAGAGCAACCCCGGCCCAGGGCTAAGGGGCGAGTCCAGAGCGCGGGCTCCCGGGCCCGCTGCCCGCTGGCTCACCGGATGGTCAACACTCAGACTCCTGGGCCCCTCTGCTGAGCCTGGAGCTGGTAGCTTCAAAGTGGGGCCCAGGGGACATGTTGGGGGCCCCTGCTGGGGACGTCATTTCCTCTCTCCCGGTTCTGAGCACCCAGATTCCGACATGGCTGATGTTTCTTAGTTTGCTCCAGGCGGGACGTCAGACCAAGGCCCTCGCAGGCCCGCCCTAAGAGAAGCGCCCCCCAAGACCCGCCTGAGGACCGGCGAGACGGTGAGTCAGAGCCAGGCCGGCGCTGGGGCCTGGAGGAGCAGGGAGGCGCGGGCAGGAGGCCCCTGCAGGGAAAGCGCGAGGGACCGTCCCTCCGGCAGGGAGACCCTCTTCCCTGTGACGCAGACACTCTGCACTTCTGCTTGCCTGTCTTCATCTAGTTTTGTGGTCCTTCTGCCTGTAAGACTTGAGGGTCTCCATTAGCTGTGCTGGGCTGTGCCATGGCCTCCCCAAGAGCTTGTCCACGGCGCTGCGCCAGGCGTGGGCTGTGCTCCAGGAATCTGCCTCCCGGGCATGTGGGTGCTGGGCGCTGAGGCCGCCCTTGGGGAAGCAGCTGCGGTGATGCAAGAAGGCAGAGCCACCGGCTGAACGTGCCCATCAGTAGCCAGCCCGGGACCGCACCTGTCTCTAGCCACCTGTATAAAGAGGGAAACAGTTGCAGGTCCTGAGTGCTCCCTCTGGGCCGGGCACTTCCTGTGCGTCTCCCTCACTCATCGCCTTCCCAACAGGGAGTGTACCTTGTCTCCACTCTGAGGCGAGGACAGCGCAGGCAGCTCCTGGCCCTCCCACCCCAGGAGGCCTCACCTGCGCAGAGTGTGTGTGTTTGGGGGGCGGGGAGAGTCAGGAGCTCATGCCACCCCGTCCCATTTATTCAGAGGCAAATTCCAGGAGCAAGTTGATAGCCCTGGGTGGGACCTCATGGGGATTAATCCGTTTGCCCTGCACTTGAACTTCCTGACACCCTCCACTCGGCACTGGGAACAGCACAGCCAAAGTCCAGGGCCTCGGTGCTGCTTCTTAAGTGCCCAGAGCCTGAGAGCTTTGTCTTCTTAGACGTGGGAACATCCAGAGGGAAGTGCTTTTTTTTTTTTTTTAATTTAATTTAATTTTTTTAAAGATTTATTTATTTGTGCATACAGAACTGGGGTTCAGGCCAGAGGCTCAGGGGCGGCGAGAGGCTTCACCAGAGACAGAGTGGGGAGCAGGACAGGCAGATCCGAAGTCCACTGCTGAGGGGAGCAGCGGGCGGGTCAGGAGAGGTCTGCCGCGCCATGTGGTCACCTCCGGGGCATGCGGGGATCGGACTCATGCGGAAGTGGCTTTAGCTTCTCAGTGCTGTGCTTCAACCCACTGCGCCACCAGGGAGGGCCAGAGGAAAGTGCTTTTGACAAGAAGGAAGCAGAATCTGACTAGCTGCCACAAGGCACCCCAAGTAGCCCCAAGTAGGCCCCAGGACTGCCCCACCTAAACAGGAGGGTCCTCGGAGACCTGACGGAGGCGCCCCCAGGAGCAGGAGTGAGCTAGGGTTCTGCCCTCCCCCTCCAGTGACCTTGGGATGCTGCTGCCATTGTCTACACCCCGCAAAATGGGACCATTAATGCCCGTGGAGGGGGCGTGAGCCTTAAAGCCACGTCTCTGGCAAGGCGCAGCCTGAGCTGGGAGCACAGAGGCCCCCGATAAGTCACAGTCGTTGACTCTGCTCACCAACACGGTGCGGGGTGGGGGTGCTGCCTTTCTCCCCAAGACTGGCTTGCTGTGAAGCTCGTGGACGGCTCTGGAAGGTGCTCGGGCCGAGTGGAGGTGTATCATGAAGGCGTGTGGTGCACGGTGTGTGACGACCTCTGGGACGAAAAGGAGGCGCAGGTGGTGTGCCGGCAGCTGGGCTGTGGGACGGCCGCCTCGGCGCCCGGAGAGGCCCACTTCGGCCAGGGCCCGGGCCCCATCCTTCTGGACAATGTGCAGTGCTCCGGCACCGAGGCCGACCTGGGCCAGTGCTCCCACGCCGGCTGGTTCTCCCACAACTGTGGGCACGGGGAAGACGCTGGCGTCATCTGCTCGGGTAAATGTCTCTTCTGAGAGCTGCGCTTTGGCTTTCCAGTCATTCCCTGCTTCTCCCCGAAGCGGCTGGCACCCCCAATCCAACTCCCATCTTCTTGTGTTTATTGAGAAACCAGCGGTAGCCACACTGGAAGGAATTTGGGTTAGACACGGAAAGTCCCCCATGGCCTGGGCAGACTCACCTCTGCCCCCTCGTGGCAGTCCAGCGGTCAGGGCAGGGCAGGGCAGGGCCCATACCGCGGGGAGCTGAGTTGCTGGGCCAGTGTTACCTCCGGGGATTTAGCAACTTGTTAGGGGACTGTTGAATGGTGGCTTGAAACAAGGCCATCTTGTCCCGCTGGGGGACATTTAGCAATGTCTAGAGTCACTGGTTTGTTCCAAGTAGGGTCTGTGACCGGCACCTTCTGGGGGAAAGCCAGAGATGTTCTAAGGATCCTGCAACACACAGGACAGCCCCCCACAGAGAGGCTCTGAGCCCCAAATGTCCAGCGATGAGATGAGAACGCTGCTTTACTAAAATCAAGCATCTGCCACTGAATTTGCTCATTTTAATAAGTACCAGTCAATTAATAATCAAGTGATAGTCCACTAATAATCACTTTACTAATGAAAACGAAGCTCTCTATCACTCCTTTCTCAGCCTCCCTCCATGTCCCCCCATACTTCCCTCCGGTCACCCCTCCACTGCGTAACATGGATGAAGTCTCACACTGTCATCTTGGGGGCACTAATCTAATTTCTGTCAAGTATGATACAGATTTACCAAGTCTTTATCATGACCTCGGTGTGTCGCGTCTCCTGGCCCAGGGACGTGGACTCTCGTGAATGGTTTCGCCTCGGAGCACAGAGCCGACACGCCCTCCCCTCAGACAGGCTCACCCTTCGATTCCTGTTCTGAGGACACCGGGGTTCTGCAGTAATTTAAGTCAAGGTCAAGGACCCCCACAAAGCCCTGAGGGCGCCGGGCTTCAGCTCCAGGACCTGTGCCCGCACCAGAGACACCTCTGCTCTGGGAAAACTACCCTGAATGTAGGCACAGTTGGCACATGCCCGGCGCTGTCTTGGGCGCTCTGTGAGCCTGTCCAACCTACTTCAGGTTCCCGGAAGCACTTTTTTTATTAATTTATTTTCACATTTTGTGCCTTTTTCCATCTCAGCTGCAATTCCCGCGGACTTCCCACCGCCAATTCACCTGTGTGCCATCGCCATAGTCCCATGCACTTTACCCCCCATTTTTGACCCCATTTTGACCCCACTCCCCTCTCCATCCCGGCGAGGAGCTGGAAGGGATCATGCTTAGTGAAATAAGTCAGAAAGAAAAAGAAAAATACCGGATGGCTTCACTCATAGCAGGAGCATAAAGGACCGAGGTGGTGGGGGTGAAAAAACAAAAAAACAAGGAGCAACTGTATCCCAGAAGCACCCCGGCTCCGGCAAGCTCCCCACATGCAGAGACTGCTGTGTGGCCCCAGAACCACCTTCCATGTCATCAAGTCACCCTACCTCTGTCCTGTTCCTTACACGCTGTTTTCTCTGGAGATGTCAAGAGGACGCCAGGACATATTAGCTGGAGAAATGAACGCTTGACTCTACCCATGGGAGAATGAGTGTTCATGATGTGGTCAGTTCTCGTATTTTCCAGACAAAAGTTTCAAAGAGCACCGGCTGCCGCCCAGGGTTGCTGGCCCCGTATTCAGCGACCAGTCACATTGGTTCTGTCTCTCCCTTCCCCCCCCCCCGACTCCCCAATTTCAAGTTGAGGAACTTAAAAGGCCAGCCCTGCTTGTGTGGATCGGACTGTGGCCGAGTACAGACCCTTATTTAGACTGAGATGTTTGTTTTTCTACCTGATGCAGAAAGCGCCTCCCCTTGTGATGGATGGTCCTTTTGGAATAACCATCCGTAGGGCTTATTCCAGGCCGAACTTGTCCCTGGGGTCGCAGCCATGGACAGCAGCTGACCCTTCCAGCAAATGCAGGGCATTCCAGAAGTTTTATCACCTCTAAGTGATTCAAGTTAGACTCAACTTTCTTTTCTTTCCCCCTAGAACATGAGCATGAAGCTTCAGGAGCTTGGGGTAAGAATCTCACTTTGATATACTTTGATAGAACATCCTTGAACTTCTTGTAGCAACTTCACAGTAGGGGAGGGGCGGAAGACATGTAGAGAATTCAGTCGAGAGGACTCAACAAGGGAAAAAAGAAAAACAACAAAATCAGGAAACTTCCCTACCTTTAACCCGGTCAGAAACATTTTCTCCCAAAACTGTTTTGTTCCTGTTACCCGAATGTATTCTAGAAAACTGTGGAGTGAGGATATGAATGTGACTTAATGAATTATTATTCACAGATGTAAGTGAACTACTGACACCCTAATAGCACCCTAAATCCAGCAAATGCCAAAATGGGTGGGGACAAACACAGTCCTTTAGTTAAACTGAGCTGTTCAGGACTTTCTTCAGGAATCCCAGCAGTGCCGGAAGACACTGTGAGCGCTGCCTCTCGGCCTTCCCAGCAGGAGATGCGCTCCCCCACGTAACCCAGCAAACACACCACTAAGGGACACCTGTGGGGGCCCTGAGCTGCTCAAATCCAGTCAGTTTCTCGCTTGCGGCTCAGCGCGCCTCCCAGACACAGTCCCCAGCACGTGTGCTTGGCTCACGACCCACTGCCTGAGGCTGCCGTGTACATGCAGGGCTCCCCCACAAACTCGGGGTGACTATTTTGCACAGCGGTGACACCTCACTTTTTTCTGTTTGCTCTTAGATGCTGAGAGCCTGGCACCATTTCCTGGCGGTGAGTCAAAGCTTTCTAACTCCTCAAGTGAACAGTCCTGCTGGGTCGTGTGCACCCCAGTGCTGGCGAGGTCCCCAGCCTTAACAAATGCTGCCAGACAGATGGACTCGTGGGGAGCCCTCTGTACTCACCTCACTTAACCCTCTGCTCCCAGAGCACCAGGGGAGCTCCTTCCCTCTTCCCACCCTCCTTGGCCACTTCACTCCTTCCTGCTCAGCTTCCAAGCCTTGGGGACACCACCCCCTTCTTAGAAAAGTTCTCCTGCAGGCCCCAGTCCCGTGACCCATGTCCCAAATATGATGTGGTCCTGCTCTGCTTTCTGACTCTTAGAGTAATTACAAGTCTGAACTCCACTCAGGATTAATGAAACTGTTACAGGGCAACCCAATGTGAACTGGGTTGCCTGTCGGTGGGTCCTCACCTACGCACTTAAGATTTAATCGTACTGCAGGTACACACACAGAAAGGGTCAATGATGGACTTAATTATAAAGGAAAAGAAAAAGGAACAACCCAGGGAAAGAGAAAGAGAGAGAGAGACATTAACTAGAGCATCCTACCAGTTCCGCTGACCTGGAACCCCAACAGCACACTGAAAGCTCATCAAGAGCCAAGCGACCAGCCACCAGCACGAGGCCAAGGGAGAGAGAGAGCCAACCTGGCTCCTCCATACACCCCAGAATCTCACAACGCCTGCTCAGCTCCAGCCTTGGGTCCTCACTGCCCGCTGCCATTTGGTGCTGCCGGAAGTTATAGTTTCAGTGACTGGAGTTGGAGGTGGAGCTGTAGCTTCAGTGACCACAGTCAGGGGTGGAGTCCACAAAACCTGTACCTGCAGAGTCCGTTCAGGACACCCTTTCCCCCAACGAAACCGCCTCGTCCAGCCCCCTCAGCCAGACTCTGTCAGCAGGACCAGGGCTGTTCTGGGCACGGCGCCGCCTTGCTCTCTGCTGACCCCCACACGCTCGGGCGAGCGCCATTGAATGGCAGGCGAGGGTGGAGGCAAGGACGCGCCTCCTCCTCCAAGTCCTCCTCTCTGTCCTTGGCAGACTGGCCGCAGCTGCAGCTGGTGAACGGGTCGGGGCACTGTGCCGGGCGCCTGGAAGTGTTCTACCTGGGCGAGTGGGGCAGGGTCTGTGACGACAAGTGGGACATGAACGAGGCAGACGTGGTGTGCCGGCAGCTGGGCTGTGGCCGCGCCCTCGCCGCCCCCGTGGAGGCCAAGTTTGGCGAAGGCGAAGGCCGGTTTCTGCTGGACGACGTGGACTGCACGGGGAGAGAGAGCTTTCTGGGCCAGTGTCCCCACACCGACTGGTCCCTCCATAACTGCGGCCCAGGAGAGGACGCCAGTGTCGTCTGCTCAGGTAAGTCCCTGGTGCGGAGCTCGGCATCCGCCGGCTTCTCTGGGAGGCTCACGGGCCAGGCTTGCCCTGGTGCCAAGGCCCCTCCCCACCCCGAGGGAGCCGGAAGTAGAAGGCATCAGTGAGCTGGGCGTCGTGAGCCATGAGGCGGGGTAGGAGGGCCACAGAGAAAAGGAGCGGAGCCATCGATGGCCCATGGCAGGCCAGAGTCCAGGGCTGGTGAGAGGCACACAAGTCGCCGTGACGTTCACCCCCTGCACCAGCCTTTCCAAGACAGATGCTCTGTGTCTGTTGGCTAACGAGCCCCCCAACAGAGGCCGGGCATTGACATTGCTACCTGGGCATGAAGTTCTTGCATTTTAACGTTCACTTTTCATGATTTAAAATTCCTTTCTAGAAACAGCTGCTTTTTTCCTTGGTTATTCACAGAGACTGAGTATTTAAAGCCACTGCTGGACACATTTATGCTTTTGTGTTTTCAGCCTGACAGTTTTTGATCTGCCAGCTGCCTGGGCAGGCAATGGGTAGATCATAAAGAAAAA